CACTTGCTCTTGCACAGTGGAAACTATGATGGCTGTAGGCCACACCATACATACATACAACAGTGACCGTTATGACCACAATGAGAACGAGGGTCCATCTTCCACCTAGCCCTTTCTGGCCAAACCCGCTGCTTCAAAGCTTTGTTCTCGCACCCTTAAGTTTCCACTCACTCTAAAGGTGCTAAAGTGTTTGTATTTTTAATGAGTGTGCGTGTGGTCACTAAAACCGATGTTTGACAAAACAATGTCTAATGTCTGTCGGTCTGTATATCATTTTAGTCTTGGCCAAAGGGGGTTTTGTTTCTGTGTGTGAATTGGGTCTGGAAGTGGAAAGTCTGACATTGTACTCTAAAAAGAGTCATGCAAAAAAAAAAAATGCCATTATTGCATCAGTCAAACTTTTTTCCAGTAACACAACTAAACCGAAGGTGTTTGCTGTCACTAAACAAAGTCCAGAGGACTGCCACCTGTAAATAAAAAGTACCTTGGTCATTAATTGATTTAGCAATGTGTCAGGCAGTAAGGGTGGTATTAGCATTGTACAGCTGAAACTTTTATCAGCCTGTGAAAATAAATTTAGGGTATGTACTTAGACACATTTGAGGCAACCTCTGAAACTAACCAGTGACTAATCATGAAGTTCCACTATGACAAGAGCTGATCAGAATGATAATGCAGTGCATGCAATACACACACTGTCAGTCCAAGAAAACAAAATGCAAGCACAGATGCTAATTTAGAATTGTACATTAAACACATTTAGCCTTAAGGCGCTATCACATTAGCGAAACATTGTCCATTGTCCATTGTCAATAGTGATGCATGAAGCACTGTTTACTCAGTGCTCACTTCCCAATTAAATAGCGTTGTATTGGTCAACAAGGCAAATTCACGTTCAGAATTACATATCTGAATATATGTAAGTGCAAACTCGTGGATTAGTCATTAGCATCTGGGTTTTGAATCATTGTCAGAGAAGTAGCTATATGCAGTAGGTAGTTAAATTCAGTTTTCTTTTCTTCTAAGGGTGTGTAATAATGTTGTGTTTGCTCACAGGTAACAGCGCGGAGGCTATGGAAGAATGTGTACGATGAGCTGGGTGGTAGTCCAGGCAGTACCAGTGCAGCCACCTGCACACGCAGACACTACGAAAGGTAAACTTACATTTAACTGTAATAAACCAGGCATTTTTTAAATTCACCCATCAAAAATTGTATGTTGGATCGCTTAGCTATACTCAAACTCACATTGCCCACATGCACACAACTGATCAAAGTTTCAGAGCATTTGCATTGACCACTAGGCCATGGCTTCAACAGTAAAACTCTTTCTTTGTGCAGGTTGGTGTTGCCCTTTGAGCGGCAACTGAGAGGGGAGGAGGACAAACCACTACCACCCTCCAAACCTCGAAAACAGTACAAGAGGAGCCCTGAGAACAGGGGAAGTAAGCCAGAGAGCAAGAAGAAGAGGAAGACGGAGAGAGAAGAGTGTGAGGTGAGCAGGAAGAAAATGCACTTGGATCAAAGAAACTCTTTGTCAAATGTACAGTTAAGGTTGGGACATTGCTATGTGAACTTCAGCTTTTTGACGGGACATTTTTAAGTAATGACGCAAACAGATTGTTGAATTGATTCATTGAAATGGACCATTTGAACCCTCCATCCATTCTTCAAACCAATTGTCCTATGTAGGGTCAGGGGCATACTGGAGCCAATCCCAGTGGCTCAGGCCATACGCAGGGAAACACCCTGGACGGTTGGCTGTTTGAACCCATTCATGGAAATGAATCTAGTGCTATTTATGCTACTGTCTAATTCAGGGATGTCAAACAGTTCCTGGAGGGCAACAGCAGAGTTTAAACACACCTGACCCAGCTAATCAAGGTCTTCTAGATTACTTGAAAAATAAAGGTAGCTGTGTTGGAGCAGGTTGGCGTTAAACTCTGCAGGACTGTGGCTCTCCAGGAGATGAGTTTGACACCCCTGGTCTAAATTCACAATGTTGCTTAATTTTACATCAACAGCATAATTATCTATCACCAAACCCTACATACAAAATGACATACAACAATATAAATCTAAGTGATGCATAGAATATAATTGTCCTATGTGTGGAGACGTATCTGTCTGCTCCTTGTGCTGAAGCATGTCCCTTTTGTTCTCAGGAGAAAATGGGATCAGATCATCACTGTGAGAGAGGCATATGTTCCCATCACAGTCCATGGTTGGCATCCTCCGATCGCCTAGACTCTGAGCAGTCATCCGCAGTTTCTGTCCACGGTCCCCACCCAGGCACCTGCTCCAGAGAGATCCCTCTCCTTCATACTCCCACCCCGAATGAGGTGATCTCTCCCTTGGAGAAGAAGAAGCGTCTGGCCCAGGCTAGCCTGACCATCCCTGCCTCTGGAGCATTGGAGGACGGTGCAGAACTGGAGAGACCCTCTGTTATTCAGCTATCCCACTGTTCCCAGTCTCCTGTGTGTCCTTCTTCCACTCACACTCGTCACTCTTCCGATGGCTCACCCCTCCCCATCTCCTCTCCATCTGGCTCCTTGTCCCGTAGCCCCTCTCCTTGCTCTGTCTCCTCTGAGGACTGTAAAGCCGTGACGACCCAGAAGTCTCCTTCCAAAGAAACCGAAAGTAAGACACCTTCTCGTTTGTCTGCTCTCCCCACGTCCAAGGCTGCTAGCACAGGAGTTTGCAAGCCTCTTGGATGTTACCCCAACAGCAAAGAACTTGCCAACTATCACCGCAACCATTACAGGAATTTCATGCCAGGTGGCCCACCCCATTCCGAAAAGACCCAGAGGAGTCTTTTGCCATGGACCCCGGATGGTAAATCCAGCACCAGACTTACATCCTACAGGATGCCTTCACCTGCATACACCAAACCCTGCTGGGTCCCTCATGCCTCCAGCTTCTCCAAGGTCTTACCACGAGATCCTTGCAGACCTGTGTCACTACAACCCACTTTTAAACCACACATGTCCTACCACCAGCACCTCCTAAAGAGGCCCATCACCGATGAAGCCTACTTGAAGAAGATACCAGTGGGCTCTCCACTTCGCATTATTGACAGGAAAGAGAAAGCAAATACAGTGTTGCCCAAGCCTCTGCCTACCCAGCAGTTATTCTTCCACCCTCATCCTGGTATAACAATGCCCTACCTGCCAACCATAGAGAGATATCGGGCAGACTTAAACGAACAGTTGAAGGCTCTACCTCTTCAACATGTATTTCTTCCAACCCATCTAACAATACCTCCTGCTCAGACCCACTCTATGCATTGCCCGCCAGTGGGCACCCCTTTTCCTGGGTCTTACGAGGCTGCTTTGCCCTCCTACCCTTACCCATTACCCATCTGGCATCCACCTGCTGGGTACAACATGGCAGGCCTGCAGCCATACTGAACGATTCTGAAACAACTGGTTGTTCAGATCTATAGGTCAACGTGAAACCAAAATTGATGAGTTTACTTTCTCAATACAGACTCCACATGCTACTAGAAAACTCAGATACTGAAGGATCAAGTCAATTTTCAGGATAATTTTAAATGAAGTAAATTGGGTTGCAGAGTGTTTCATGTTGATTTTAAAAACTAATGCTAACTGAAGGAGTTACATACATGGTCCTGTAGTTCAGCTGGTAGAGCATGGCACTTGCAGCTGCAAGGTTTTGGAATCAATTCCCAGTGTATACACAATACTGATAAAATGTAGCAGTGAATGCACTGTAAATCACTTTGGATAAAAGCGTCTGCCAAATGCGGTTAAAATGTAAATGCTACATGTTGATATGTTCATCAGTGTATCTATATCTGCAAAAGAATAGCCTCCTAGTTGATGTGGAATAGGTATAAATAATATTTTTAATGCCATTCTTCGTATGAATACCAATTACTTTGTGGTACAATTCAGGGTCCAACGTGAATAATCAAGTTTCTTGTATCTTGATAAATAATTTCCAGGGTTGGTCTGGCTCAAATAGAAATATTCACATAAGGGTACATCCTAGAAATGTTTTTTTTTACATTTATATCACAGTCTCAAGGCCCTCGACAAGATCAATGTGTTTGACAACACAACAATAATGTGAAACATGTCTGTAATGTATAGTTGTACATTGCATACTGAATGTAAAAAATATTTTTGTATAAAATAAATGTCAAGATCATGTCAGGTCTTCAAGACACTTCCTGTGAATCAACTGCAAAGATTCTAGCAATGAGAAGACACATCAACACTACGTTTATTTTAAAGAATCGTTCAACAAAGAGAGCATTCAATCTCAAGACTTTCAAAGTAAATGGAACATATTTTGAGTCCCACATAATCAGGAATGTACTATCTTTGTCTAAACATAGAAAAATCAAAGACAACGCCTGTAGACATCTCTTTTGCAAGAAAGTGCTAAATTAACAGCTCATTTATGTAACACGGCAAGGAATGCATTGCATTTGTAAGGAAAATCTGGAATGTTTAAGCAGCTGATACTGCACAGCAAACAACAGGGCATGTAAACTATTCCTCCAAAAATAATGAAACCAACATTCACAATTAGGAAAACCCTGCCGAATCTTGCGTTTCAGATTTGAAGAACGCCTGTTTTCTTGATGTTAAATTGCTTTATCTGCTTTTGTGAAGCATCTAATGAAAAAGAAATAACAAGGCCCCTATAAAGGGGAAGTCGTGGCCTAATGGTTAGAGAGTCGGACTTGTAACCCAAAGGTTGTGGGATTGTAGGTGGGGGGAGTGAATGTACAGCGCTCTCTCCCACCTTCAATACCACGACTGAGGTGCCCTTGAGCAAGGCACCGAACCCCCAACTGCTCCCCGGGCGCCGCAGCATAAATGGCTGCCCACTGCTCTGGGTGTGTGTTCACTGCTGTGTGTGTGCACTTTGGGTTAAATGCAGAGCACTAATTCCAAGTATGGGTCACCATACTTGGCCACATGTCACGTCACTTAATATTAGTGAAGTAAATGTTTTTTTTTTTTGTTGTTTATAAAGTGCAATTTTATTCTTCAGAACAGGGAACATCGAAGGGGACTGTGCATTAATAAGAGTATCTATGGTGTTTGAGTCAGGATGGGAGTGTCCAGGCCTCCTCTGCTGTGAAGTGTATATTTCAGTGGGGTAACTCGTGTGGAACAAGTTTGTAGTAAGCGCCACAGGATGGGCAGCGCTGGGCCTCTCCCTGATGCAACCAAAACCATACCACTGCAGTGTTGTCCTCTTCACCTTCATAAAACAGACACATAGGTTAACGGGTTTGACCAAAGATCATTATGTTGTTATGATGGCTCATACTGATAAGAAACACATAGAACTAATATGACTATACAATTTAACTGATATCAAAATGGTGGTTAAATTATACTATCACTTACAAACACAACCAACAATCCTCTTGTTGGTTATGGAGGGGACAATATGAGGGTCTTGTTTGGAGCCTGCATACTCCTGCGGTTTTAAGAACCTATATGGATCCTAGTGAAGAAGACAGCATTGATTATTCACACAGCAGTCTTTATTTCACAAGAAGCCACAACAGAACAATAGAACACAGTACAAGACACTTACAGTTCCTCTCTTTTGACGCCTCCAACACAATCTTCTCCAGACCGGTGGCCTGCTCATCATCTGTGGGGATGCCTAAACACAAGCTCACAAATTAATAATATTACAGACCATGTTTGCAAGGTGTACTGATGTTCACAAACATTTTTTTTTTTTTTTTGAAAATCATTTGGCTTTAACTACTTAAAGGTACTATTGGAAGCCTGATTCAGCCTCTAAAGGAAAAAAAATACTCATCAGTTATTATTAAATAAGTTACATACTAAGACATAATTATGAGTATGACACGTCAAAATGATCACAAAAAGTACAACTTACGAGAAAGCCATAGTTATGACATAAAAACCAATTAAAAATGAACTTTTTGGTCCTAATCGGAGTTATCATAATTATGCCTTCTTCAACGACAAAAGAATTATACTTTTGTTATGATTATTGATCTATATTGTACAGTTATGATGACATAAAACCTCATAAATATAATAAAAAAGATACACTTTTTTTGGTCATCATTTCGAGTTATAATTACGACTAAAATTTTAATTATGACTCAACGTTTATCTCATGAATGCATTTTTTGGATATCATTTCAAATTAATCTTAAAATTATGATTTACTGAATCGTTTTTGGCTTATGTCGCAGAAATTGGCATGAAACGCAAATCTATTTTTCCCTGCCATTATTGTTAGTATGCAACAAACTATTTCTATTTCCTGCAAGTGCAGCTGTGGCTAAATAGGATGACAGCAAGATGATTAGACTTAAGTACGAATTCACGGACAACTCTTCAAGGAGGAAATAACGATGAAGTTGTAGCGACAAGAGTGATACAATAGTTGCATTCGATATATAGATGACATATAGATGAATGCATATTTGAGGCGGAGGGTGAGATGCTGCTGCAAACAGGCGATATCACTATCGACCCAAGCTGTATTTTCCAGCGCAAACCGTCCAAACACGCTCACAAAATAAAGCCATTGATCGACCAGTCCCTCGAGATGCCAGTCCCCTGACTAGAGCCGCAGCTGGCAGAGGCCGACGGCTGTAAACAGCAGCAGCAGCGCGAGTCGCTGATCTGTGATCTCAAAACAAGCAAGATCGAGGTCTCTGCAGAGCAAAAGTGGGCGTTTCTGAATTTGTGGGTGTTTTCAAACTGCAGGGTGTTTCTCAATCATGCAATCACAATGATCCCCCTTACCTAACCCCACCCCTAAACCTACGTCACTATGACGCCAGCCAATCAGGAAACATGTCTAAAAACGCCCCGATCTGATAACTCCCATTACTTTCCTTTTTTTTTTAATTTTTTTTTTTATTAAACATAGAATACAAGAACTCATAGAGGTAACAGCATAGAATAAAACCAAATACAATAACAATCAGCATCAAACCTTAAGGGGATCCACAATACATGTAAGGCAAAAAAACAAATAATAATAATTTTCCCATTACTTTCCTGCACTTGAAACAAGCGGGGCCGCCATTCTGAGCGAGACACTGCGCATGCGCCGCAGAAGCGCAGCGCAGGAGAAGCGCAATGCCGACTAGCGGTCTGAACGACTGAAACTTTTATATTGATAGAAATGTTCAAAATGTGTCCAGTCGGCAAAAGTATAATTATTATTAATAATACAAAGTGTTTTATATATGTATAACATTAAGTTTTAATATAAAGTTTTTTTTTATTATTTTAATTTTAATGTAGAAAACAACATATGCAATCAGCATCTTGGGTTACAGTCTTGTGGAGACAGTATAAAACAATGTCTAAAATGTACAAAATACAATACAGTATAGTGCCGAGCGTGCAATGTTCATCTTTACACATAATATACAAATTATACTCAATGCACAGTGTGTGCACCTAAATTGCAGTGTCCACATTTACAGAGTTGTGGAATGTGACTAATGCACTAAGATCTCCCAGTTAAATATCAGTGTCTGGTACAGCATGTGAAAAACATCAGGCAGTAAACATCAGTATACTGTAAGAAAGAAAGAGGAAAAAATGGAAGAGGAGAATGAAAAGAAGAAAAATAACAAAGGAACAAAGAATCACGCAAGATTCACAAATACTGAGATTCTATTCAAACTATTCAAACATCTGAATTTTCTAAATATTTTCGATTGGGAACTAAAATTATAGGCCTATATTAAAATGTTATTATTAAATATATAAATATATCACTAAAACAAGCATCTCGTCTCATCTTTATTAAAACACCTAAATAAACACCAGTTTATTTCTGATGACTTTGATGTAACTTGCTCCTTCTGTGATCACCAAACTGAAAATTTGTTCCATTTTTTTTTTGGTATTGTATTTTATTACTAAGAACCTCTGAAAAAACATAATGAGTGTTTTTTTTGTTTTTTTTGTGGTATAATTCCTGATATCTTTTTGAAATATGGAAATGTTATTCTAGGATATACACATGAGAGCGAACACTTAGATGTTTTTTATTTATTCAACCTTATTTTGTTCCTGGCTAAATATTTTATACATAAATGTACATTTTGTAATTGCCTTTCTTTAGCATTTTTCTTGAAGATTTAAAACTCATCAGAAAAAAAAAGTGATTTAAAACATAAAAAATGTGTTTGATTTCTGACTCTTCTAATAAGAAAGATGTAAAAACTGTGAATCTGTTCAAAAGTTACATTATTGTCTTGCTCCCTGGCATATTTTATACTGTCATTCTGTTACATTTGTTTATAATAATAATAATCGATTCTTTATTAAAACACCTCATCTTTGTTTTGGTGCGCATTGCGCAGACTTGCGCAACTCTAACCGGCTTGAGGACACGCTGACGCCATCACGTTGTTGATTTTTGGCGCGAAATTCCCCGTCAGACGGTTCCGCGGTGGTCGAGCGCGGGAATGTAAACAGCGTAGAGTTCGGGATTAGTTTCGCGTGTCTTGTGAAGGTTGATTACTGTCTGAAGCGCGTTCGTTCGCGGCTGCAGTGTGTCAGGATGGCAGACGGACCGTCGGACGCCAGTGATCTGAGCGGAGGAGAGGAGAGCCGGGAGAGCCGGGAGGACGTGATGACCCCGGCGGAGCTCATCGCCAGACTGGAGGAGGTCAGACATCTAACGGGTGCTCAGATCAGCAATCACACTGACATCGACACTGCATGCTGACAGTGCAGTGCTTTCATACAAGCTCACGGTCAGTTTGAAGTAAGATGACAGTGCACTGCTGTTCAAAAGTTTGGGATCAGTAAGATTTGTAATGTGTTTTAAAGAAGTCTCTTCTGTTCAAGGCTGCATTTATTTGATCAAAAATACAGAAAAAAAACAGTAATATTGAGAAATATTATTATAATTTTAAGTAATTGTTTTCTAGTTGAATATATATTAAAATGTAATTTATTTCTGTGATTAAAGCTTAATTTTCAGCATCATTACTCCAGTCTTCAGTGTCACATGATCCTTAAGAAATCAGTATAATTTGCTTAATTATTATAAAAAATACAGTTTTGCTGCTTAATATATATATATATATATATATAATTTTATTTTTTGGAACCTGTGATTCTTTTTTCAGGTTTCTTTAAAGTTTATTTAAAATAATATTTTCTAACAATATAAGTCTTTATTTTCACTTTTGATCAATTTAACACGTCTTTGCTGAATAAAATCATTCATTTCTTTAAAAAAATAAAAATACTGACCCCAAACTTTTGAATGGTAGTATATATTGTTACAAAAGGCTTCTATTTTTTATAAATACTTTTCTTTTTAACTTTTTATTCATCAAATAATCCTGAAAAAAGTATCTCATGTGACACTGTAGAATGGAGTAATGATGCTGAAAATTCAGCTTTGATCACAGGAATACATTACATTTTACAATATATTCAACTAGAAATTTGAAATTGTAAAACTATTTCACAATATTACTGTGTTTACTGTGTTTGAGCACACAAATGCGAGCCTTCGTTAAAAATTCATTTAAAAATCATAAGGTTTCCAAACTTTTGCAAGTTCTGTATCAAAACAGTATCTTATATTAGAGCTGCCTCTTTGTCAGCACTGCTTACTGTTCATTCTCAGTCGATTATACGAGGTGCATCCTGTGATTAATTTTAAAAAGTATTGAATGAGTTCACTTGTATGCTGGACACTTGTTAGATGAAGAATCTGAAGAATGTAGAATGTAATAGAAGAAATGCATACGTAGGCTCATTTGTGTAAAAGAAAAAGTATGTGAAGTACATGTTTTTAATGAGAAACAGAAACTCAGTCAAATGTATGTTTTTAAGCTCAAACTTTTGCTAAAAAAATGATTAGTATATAAAACGTGAAAATAAATGCATGCATTACAGGTGCATCTCAATAAATTAGAATGTCGTGGAAAAGTTCATTTATTTCAGTAATTCAACTCAAATTGTGAAACTCGTGTATTAAATAAATTCAATGCACACAGACTGAAGTAGTTTAAGTCTTTTGGTTCTTTTAATTGTGATGATTTTGGCTCACATTTAACAAAAACCCACCAACTCACTATCTCAACAAATTAGAATACTCCATAAGACCAATAAAAAAAAACATTTTTAATGAATTGTTGGCCTTCTGGAAAGTATGTTAATTTACTGTACATGTACTCAATACTTGGTAGGGGCTCCATTTGCTTTAATTACTGCCTCAATTCAGCGTGGCATGGAGGTGATCAGTTTGTGGCACTACTGAGGTGGTATGGAAGCCCAGGTTTCTTTGACAGTGGCCTTCAGCTCATCTGCATTTTTTGGTCTCTTGTTCCTCATTTTCCTCTTGACAATACCCCATAGATTCTCTACGGGGTTCAGGTCTGGTGAGTTTGCTGGCCAGTCAAGCACACCAACACCATGGTCATTTAACCAACTTTTGGTGCTTTTGGCAGTGTGAGCAGGTGCCAAATCCTGCTGGAAAATGAAATCAGCATCTTCAAAAAGCTGGTCAGCAGAAGGAAGCATGAAGTGCTCCAAAATTTCTTGGTAAACGGGTGCAGTGACGTTGGTTTTCAAAAAACACAATGGACCAACACCAGCAGATGACATTGCACCCCAAATCATCACAGACTGTGGAAACTTAACACTGGACTTCAAGCAACTTGGGCTATGAGCTTCTCCACCCTTCCTCCAGACTCTAAGACCTTGGTTTCCAAATGAAATACAAAACTTGCTCTCATCTGAAAAGAGGACTTTGGACCACTGGGCAACAGTCCAGTTCTTCTTCTCCTTAGCCCAGGTAAGACGCCTCTGACGTTGTCTGTGGTTCAGGAGTGGCTTAACAAGAGGAATACGACAACTGTAGCCAAATTCCTTGACACGTCTGTGTGTGGTGGCTCTTGATGCCTTGACCCCAGCCTCAGTCCATTCCTTGTGAAGTTCACTCAAATTCTTGAATAGATTTTGCTTGACAATCCTCATAAGGCTGCAGTTCTCTCGGTTGGTTGTGCATCTTTTTCCTTCCACTCAACTTTCTGTTAACATGCTTGGATACAGCACTCTGTGAACAGCCAGCTTCTTTGGCAATGAATGTTTGTGGCTTACCCTCCTTGTGAAGGGTGTCAATGATTGTCTTCTGGACAACTGTCAGATCAGCAGTCTTCCCCATGATTGTGTAGCCTAGTGAACCAAACTGAGAGACCATTTTGAAGGCTCAGGAAACCGTTGCAGGTGTTTTGAGTTGATTAGCTAATTGGCATGTCACCATATTCTAATTAGTTGAGATAGTGAATTGGTGGGTTTTTGTTAAATGTGAACCAAAATCATCACAATTAAAAGAACCAAAGACTTAAACTACTTCAGTCTGTGTGCACTGAATTTATTTAATACACGAGTTTCACAATTTGAGTTGAATTACTGAAATAAATGAACTTTTCCACGACATTCTAATTTATTGAGATGCACCTGTAGATACAGTCTGTAATATGAGTCTTATTGCACATGCTTTCAGGAACAGTGTTTTTGAACGTGTCTCTTGTGTTTCAGGCTTGGCTCAATGAGAAGTTTTCTCCAGAACTGTTGGAGAACAAGTCAGAGTTGGTGGAGTGTGTGATGGAGCAGCTCACGCACATGGTATGTTTATTTATATATTTATTAATTTATTTATTTTAAAAAATCCTGACATGCACCTCCAGCATTTTTATTTAAAGAACAGATCAGAAAAACATATGCAAATCGTAAACGTATGTAATTCAAAAATTCAACTCTGTGGGGTCAGTATTAGGTTCTCAAGTTAAAATAAGAAACATGAAAACAGTTAGCAGCATGTGTAAAAAATGATTATGCAAGAATTTAAAAATGTATAATTTTAGAATTTTGAAAATGTTTCAAATGGTTAAATGTTATTTAAAATACTTCTGGATGAAATATAGCATTACATTTCGTATCAATGAGTCATTTCTGTTTGTGTACGCAGGAGGAAAATCTGCAGCGGGTGAGGAAAGGTGATGTGAAGGCCAGTGTGCATTGCATGGAGATCGATCGCATCCGCTTTGTTCTGAGCAGCTATCTGCGCTCAAGACTCCAGAAGGTATCCTGAACATGACTCCACAGTCATTCAGCTGTTGCTTTTATTCAGAGTGACTTAAACTACACATATTACACAGACAGTTCCCTCTGGAGTAACCTGAAGGATATGTGTCTTTCTCACAGACACCGTTTAGACCAGTCTGAAAATATCTAGCTGTCCTTATAGATGGTTTCAAGATGTTTTTTTGCTCTAGAAATTATCTTCAGCGTCCTGTGTGCTTTGAGTTGAAGCAAATGTAAATTGCACTGTAGGTACTTGTTTATGCATACATGGTTGTTGTCTCGTCTGCAGATAGAGAGGTTTTTCCCTCATGTTTTGGAGAAAGAAAAGTCACGTGCTGATGGAGATCCTTCATTTCTCTCTCCTGAAGAGTTTGCCTTCGCTAAAGAGTGAGTTCATTCTGAATCCTTTCTATTGTCTGTATCAGCCGATAGGCAGACGGTGTGGTAAAGTGCAAACAGCCAGAACATTCTTTTCATTTCTGAGAGAATGACTGTTTTGTGCTGAATGTCGAGTGGTATTTGGCATTGTCTGTTAGTCATCTAATTCACAAAGTGATGTGTGTGGTCTCTAAATGTTATATGTTGTGTGTTTAGGTATCTGGCCAACACAGAGATGTATCTCCGAAATGTGGCTCTGAAACACATGCCCCCAAACCTGCAGAGCATTGACATGCTGAAGGCCGGTGAGAAACGTTTTATTGTTTTAAATGGATATTTGAAGAATCATAGACAAGTTCACCAACATTACTTATATCTTTTTTTTTTAAATTATATTTATTAGTGTATTTTTCAGTTATATTTTGAGATTTACTAGCCAGAAATACTAGAAGTCACACACACACACACACACACACACATATATATATATAATTTTAATAATGCCATAATCTATTAATTTGGATAAAGGGAATTTACAGTAAATTGACATTTTACAGTGAACACTCAGAAATAAAGGTACAAAAGCTCTCTTTGGGGCGGTAACTTTAAGGTACTGTGGACCCTGTAGTGGTAAATAAGGTACAAATGTGTACTGCATTTATATAAAAAATAGATCAGAAAAGCATATAGACTACTGTTCAAAAGTTTGTGGTCAGTAAGTTTGTTTGTTTTTGTTTTTGAAAGAAATTAATACTTTCATTGAGCAAGGATGCATTAAATTAATTAAAAGTGACTATAAGGACTAAATTGGTAAATTGCTACCAAATATTTCATCATAGAATCCTGAAAGAAATGTATCAGTTTCCACAAAAATATTAAGCGGCACAAGTGTTTTTAGCATGGATAATAATAAAAA